TTTTATTTATTATTATTAAAATTAGTTACTTATGATTCAATGACATGCAAACATATTATACAAAAATATTAACAAACAAAAACAAACAATAATTGTCAAGAAAACGCTCAAAACGCGTCGTAGTTCACAAATATTTGCAAAACCGGACTAATTTTTCTGTGTAGTTTATTACCATAATTTTTTTGTTATCATTTATTTACATTGATTCCAATGACAAGTTGGACTGAAGTTATAGAACGTACGAAAAACGCATATCGCAACATAGTTTTTTTGCACCCACCGGGGGTGTGAGTATAGATTTTTATTATTTATATTTTTTTTTTAAAATACTAGTTATGCTATTAAACATTACTAATATTACCTTTAACCACTTCTGGTAAGCTTAAAATGCTGGTGTTAGAAGTGGTTAACGAAAGTAGTCGAATAGCGGATTCGAACCCACAACCATTCGAGTTCGCGGTCCGGGCCCTGCCATTAGGCTACTGATGCTTCATAAATAGATAGTGACAGTGTGCGTGCGAGAGGTGAATAGAGGCGACGACATTTTCAATCCCTTTATTTAACCGCACGGCTAAAAAGTTGTCATGAATAAATAAAAAATAAATACAATTAAACGTAGGGCAAAAATTTTACTAGTAGCTAGGCAGGGAGCTGATGAATACAAGTGGATCAGAAACATGCCTATAGTTCTAATCCATCCATTAAAATCTGTAAAAGTCCACTGCTGAACATAGGCCTCCCCTATAGATTGCCTCATAGGATTTTACCATAGTCCCCAGCTTGGGGACTCGGTTTGGCCACCGCAGTTTTTTTATAATTTTGAGTTGTTTACAGGAACATGCTGCTAACGATCTCCTGTTTCAGTTTCCTCTGTTGCCTCTTACGTCACCCACGGCACGATATAGAGTAGTGGATATCCTTTCACGGTTACTATATAATACTATATTAAAAATAATGCGCAAGTTCTTTTTATTACTAATAAAACAAGTATGTTCTCTGTCATAACGTTTATTAATTCAATTTAGGAAGGAACTAGGGTAATAAGTTACTGACGCTTGGGATTTTTTTAGACGAATCATAAAAGAGCATAATATATTATGTTCAATGGACTTAAACATCTTTATAAGCATTATGAATCTAGTGCTTGATACGTGATTTTGCTAGCTCTAAATGAGAGGTCCTGTATACTTTTTTTTTTAAACTGAAGTGACAAACGAAATTACTGTGCACCTGATGGTAAGTGGTTACTGCAGTTCATGGACATCTGTAGTCAATTTGAAACAAAGAAGGTACAGTAAGCCTGTAGCCCGTAGTTATGCAAGATTTGCCTGGACTACCACCTGACAATTTACAATTAAAAGTAGGATCAGTTGTGATTATGCTGTGTAATATTAATCATTCTCGTCTGTGCAATGGAAAGAGACTGGCTGTGAAAAAATAATGAATAACGTCATCGAGGCCAAGATCAGCAAGGGATATTACAAAGGAGAGGATGTCTTGATCCCGCGTATAACGAAGATTCCAACCGATTTGTCATTCAATTTTAAGCGTCTACAATTTTCCGTAGGTCTGACCTTGGTGATGACCATAAACAACATTCATACGTGGTAGAGCCATGCTGCAGCTATATCGGTAGTATAGTTGTAGCTCAAATGGGTTGGCTCGACTGGGGAAGGACTTCGCTCTCACAGAATATCAACGTAAAATAGCAGCTTAACACTGCTGTGTTCCGTATGGTGAGTGTAGGGAACCGGAGACCCATTTTACTGGAAAAGAGACATTCCATCTTAGTACTCACGGGTGACAACGAATCTGCATTTTGATTCGCAAACGAGGATATATGTAGATATCTATGGGCCACAGCAACCACTTACCATCAGGTGGACTGTGTGCTCGTTTGTCACCCTATCCTATAAATGAATAAAAACAAATCGCAAGGCCACTCGTTGAAAATTTGCGGAATCGACTTGGAGTTTCCCTGTTTCGTGCATGGGCAATTATACGTCGCGTGTTTGCGAGTCGGAAAACCATTATCTTTATATATTTACGCACCGCTAAAAAAACAAAAATATAGTACATGAGAAAGTTTTAAATTGATTAGGTGTATAACTGTGTTGCATGTAATGTAAATAAAAAAATTGTACTAAATTTTGTATAGGTTCACAAATATGTATAGGTGATACGAAGTTCACCGGGTCGTCTAGTAATAAATAAAAAAATAGTTAATAATAAATAAAAAAGTATAAATAAATAATAGGGTACCACGGCAAACATAGTAGGAAAGCTAATTTTAACAATTTATAACGAAATTGTAACCAAATTTGAGGGTTAAATAATGTAGAAATAATGAAGAAGGATAATGAGTTTATAAAGTAACACTTTACAGCAATTTGCTCCCACAAAAGCATATTTTAAATTTGGTAAATGGTTACTAAAAAGGTACCTACCTCAGTACTTCGATCTTCCTTGAGTGCCAATAAAATTATACAATGATTTCTCATGTTTACGTGAACACCACACATTTGAAATAAATGAAACTTCTTTTTAGATAGTCTATCGAACGTAAATAAGCGATGATAATGATTTCGACACGTTTCACGACACGGTACAAGCTCAAACATGACACGAATAAAAAGTTTATCTTGAAATTGATCTATTCCATTTCATCGATCACTATCAAACCTATGTCAAAGTAGACTTTTTCTATGTGTCGACAACCCGTATCGAATAAATGTTCCCTTTTCCGTCTGACAGTTTCAGATCGCGATAGTTCCTAAAATATCGTTCAAAGCTAGCACAGATACCTGAAAAGCTTACACACAATACCTATTTGCAACTACGGCACAATATCTGAAATACCTCGAAGCGAAAAGGCTCGTATTGACGTGTGGTCTGCGGCCGGCATTCGGTTTCCTAACAAGTATTGTGTTCGAGTGAAGCAATTTTGTCCATCTGTGTAGAAACGAAATTCAGTTTTGGTCAGATTTGAAATTATATAAAAGTAATATTTTGTACTAAGTTGATTGTAATAACGTACAGTTACCGTGTGATAGTGTACTTTGCACATAAAGAACATTTTCATGAATATATTGTGATAACGTCAATATTATTACTCAATCGTCAATATAATTTTCCTCTCTCTCACCATAAAATTAGAAATTGCGTAAGAGTTCACTACCATAGAAATAAAACAGGAGACGAGTAGTAGCATCGTCCCGATAACAATTCAAAATAATAAAAAAAACGCCCTTACCAACCCGCCCACCAAGCGAGGCAACTATGGCAAATGTAGTAGGCAATGGTTGGGGCCAATGTTCAATAGTAACCTTTTGATAGGCTGAGTGAATAAAAAAAGAATGACACTCATTACGTAATCATAACAAAAAAAGTTCTACGTGGTAGAGCCATGCTGCAGCTATATTATGATTGTGGCACGAATGGGTCGGCTCGAACGGGGAAGAACCACGCTCTCACAGAAAACCAGCGTAAAATAGCAGCTTAACGCTGCTGTCTTTCGTATGGTGAGCGTAGAGAACCGGAGACACTTTTTACTCGCAAAGAGACATTCCATCTTAGTTCTCACCGGTGACAACGCATCTGCATCTTGAGTCTTTATTGAGGATAGATGTAGATGTCTATGGGTTACAGCAACCACTTACCATCAGGTGTACTGTGTGCTCGTTTGTCACCCGATCCTATAAAAAAATACTTTTTTCTTTACACTTACACTTGGATTATCTCCTGTATAGTGAAGGAAGTTTACAAATATACATTTCAAAAGGACTAGTATCCAGACCCGAAACAATTATTTGTAGGCCAAACAAATACTCGCTCCGTGCGAGATTCTAACCCATGGCTCCCAAAGCTACAACACACTGCTACGCCACTGCGCCACGGAGCCGTCATAGTAACTAGTACTAAATGCTTTTTACGTGGTAATGATTTTTATGTGGTAGAGCCATGCTGCAGCTATATAATGATTGTAGCAAGAATGGGTCGGCTTGACCGAAGAATGACCAAACTCTTACAGAATACCAGCGTTAAATATGTGTTTTATATGGAAAGTGTAGATAACCCTTTTACTAGATTAGTGGCTTTCCATCGTAGTCCTACGAGATGAAAACACATCTGCATTTTGATTCTTAACCTTGGTATTCTATAGGATGCATTTCGCTGAGTGTGCGCAGGAATTACACGCTTTAATTCCTCCCTCTCCTTTCCACCATCAGACAACCATACGGTCGGCGGGTCTTCATCCCTTTGTTGTCGATATTCCACGTATTAGAACCAAATGGTTTGCTTCGTCTTTTGTAATGCGTACAGCAAAGGAGTGCAATAATTTGCCGGCGTCTAACTTTCCATCCGAATACAATCTGGGAGTCTTCAAGGCAAGACTGAATAGGCTTTTGTTACGCTAAGACATTGCGATTTACCATCTCAGGCTGCATCACCACTTACTACCAGGTGGGATTGTGGTCAAGCACTTATAATAAGTTAAAAAAAGTTAGATGTATATGTATATGGACCCTGTGACCCATAGACATATACATCTGTTCTGTCATCATATATGCTGTCACCCACTTACCATCAGGTGGAGTAAGCACTCGTCTTGTAACCTGTATTAAATAAAAACACAGCCATCACGAGAGATCTCTAAAACTATACGCCCGATAGACTTGAAATTTGGCACTTGGCACTTTCTCGATGCACCACTAAGAAAAGATTTTGGAAAATTCAACGAGTGAAATAGGGTTTTATAGTTTTGTACAGTGAAACGTACATATTTCACAATGACCTGAATGTATCTAATTTGTTAACTTTACACTCTTAATAACACAGTACTTTAACGCCCTGTACTCGGCGAGCAGTGCACTTCAAGCACTCATATCAAGCAGTCGTTATCATTATCAATGTCATATTAAATTATCATTTTAAATAATGAAAGTGTAGTTAAACCCTACAAGCTTGTATATTACATATTTGAGAGTAATACACCTGAAATGACAGTGTCGAAAATAATTTTTTCTCCTTGTTTAAGCTTCGACGTGAGGGGTAAGCATCTCTCGGAAGCGAGGCACTGGTCAGCGCCAGAAGTATTTGGGCCGCGTGCACACTTTTCCACGTCACCGCCGCCAGCCTCGCTGCTGGTGCGTGACGTCAAGCGTCGCGATGAGGGCGTCTACCGCTGCCGGATTGACTTCCGCAACACGCAGACTACTAGTTTCAGATACAATCTCACTGTAGTTGGTGAGTATTTTAACTATTATAACGTTTTATTAACAATACGTGGTAGAGCCATGCTGCAGCTATATTATGGTTGTAGCACGAATGGGTCGGCTCGACCGGGGAAGGACCACGCTCTCACAGAAAACCAGCGTAAAATAGCAGCTTAACGCTGCTGTGTTTCGTATGGTGAGTGTAGAGAACCAGAGACCCTTTTTACTGGCAAAGAGGCATTCCATCTTAGTTCTCACGGGTGACAACGCATCTGCATCTTGTGTCTTTATTGAGGATAGATGTAGATGTCTATGGGTCACAGTAACCACTTACCATCAGGTGGACTGTGTGCTCGTTTGTCACCCGATCCTATAAAAAAGAAAAAAAAACTATGTGTTCTAATACGTGTTGGGCCATGTTGCAGCTATATTATGACTGCTGCATGAATGAATCGGTTAGAACGAGGAAGAAGCAAGAAAGAACCAAAGAACCAACCAACCAAGAACGCCAGCGTATGCCTAGTGTAGAGAACCTGAGACCATTTTTACTGGAAACGAGGCATTCCATGTTAGTCCTCAGGGGTAACATCGTAGCTTCATTTTAATTTGAGGATAGATGTAGATGTCTATGGACCACAGCATTCACTTAACATCAGGTTTTCATCACTTTATATTTTTTAAATAGCTGTTCAATCGAATAAACTCTAAAAAAGTATTTACGTCTCATTGCTAGATACAGTTCTGTTCTCATTTTTAAGATAGTTTAAGGCAAAGGAAATACCCAATGTTTCGAAATATTTTTTCTTATTCATGCAAGTTTCCTTAAGTATTATCCTTCACTCATCAACATCATTACAGCCCTTCACAAGGCTACTGCTGAACATAGACCTCCCCCAAGGAATGCCACGAAATACGGTCCTGAGCCACCTGCAACCATCGACTACCTGCATGTCTTACCAGGTCGTCACATTTCACATATATGTATACAATAGAGTTCTAACAAGAAAAAAGTCGATGTTAAATTTAAATTTAGATCTCATTTCGCGATATTTAATTAAAAAAATAACTAACTTGTAAAGTTACAAAATTCCTGCTTAAACTTTAAGTAACCAAATGGAAATTCTGCCCCACTTTATCGATATGAGTCCCGAAACTAATTAAACGGGTCCCTTTGCAGTTGTAGAATTCATATAAATGTATAATGTAACAAGTCCCTCAGGTGTGAGGTTATTGTAGTCGTTGGAGTTTCTTGGAGAATATTCAATCAATGTCCTAACTCGTCTTTGAGGTGCTCCATATTCATTAGCACAGCTACGAAATGTTCAATAATTTGATCAAATACGTCGTTACGTATCCGCTCGTTATGTCTAATCTACTCGAATGATAACTATGATTAATTAAATTTTGACGGCGGCGTATTCGCTTCTTTTGCAAAATTATTTTTCATCCATTTCAAATATGGTTGCTTTTTTACATTTATTTGGCTTATTATTTTGGTGATGATGAAAACATTTCAATTGTTGTATTTTGTTTATAGATTAAGGGTAGCAAACGAGTACACTGTCAACCTGATAGTAAATGGATACTGTGACCCATAGACATCTACATCTATCTATGATTTAAAATCAAAACGCAGATGTTTTGTCACTTGTCACCCCTGAGTACTAAGATGGAATTCTTTCACAGCAGCATTAAGCTGTCTTATTACGGTGGTATTCTGTAAGAGTGTACTCCTTCCCCGTTCGAACCGACCCATTCGTGCCACAACCGTATTATAGCTGTATCAAGGCTCTACCACATAAAATCTTCTTTTATTGAATTTTAATATACTATAACAATATATCATGACGGTAAATAAAACTTAAAAGGGACATAATCTTTATACATAAAAATTACGCGTCACATTGTTTGTCCGCGATGAACTCCTAAACTAATGAACTGATTTCAATGAAATTTTGCACACTGTGTGCAGTTTGGTGCAACTTGAGAGATAAGATAGTTTTTATCCCGATAAGTGACCCTCAATATTTTTTTATTGCGACTGTAAGGATTTTTTCATAGGACGGGTCGTCGGAAAGGGTAGAACAACGTCTACCTGGCCATCTAGTTATAATATAATTTTATGATGTAACATTATGTTACGAGTATATGATGTCATCTTGCTTTGCATATAATTTCTATAATACGAGTATAACATACTATGTTATATGTTACGGCCTGAAATATAAGGTGAGCCAGTATAAGAACAGGCTGATAAGAATTCCATCGTAGTCGTCAGAGGTAATAACAACGTTCTTTTTTTGAATTTGAATGCTTTGTATCTATGGACTGCAAAAGCTAATTATCATCAGGTGGACAGTAAGTTCGTTTCTTCCTTCAGTTTTATAAAAGAATATCATTTTGAATTGTCATCCATTTTATATCAACTTTAATATATTATTTAAAAAATGAACACAGAACAAAAGTTACGAAGTATATAGCTTCAGTCACAAACTAATGTCTCAATTGGATAAAAATAGATAAGAATATAATTTAAAAATTGCATTTTCAAAAATTTGTTTTATAGGTATAAAATTATGTAAAAGTAAAAAAAAAAATTAAAACTTACTTATAAAGCTAAGAGTATAAATAATTTTACACAATTTAAGAGCTCTTGAAGTTTTCCAAGTCTTAGCAAATTTAGTTCTTACTCTTTAGTAGTTTACCTCGAGGTAACAACTAAACAGTAACACTAATTAGTATCACTAAAATTTCATCTCCTACTTCTTGACTAGAGGGTAAATTTTTTTGTTAAATTTAAATAGGACTTCCCTTAAGGTATCGGCTATTTTAAAACAGAATCGTCAAAATCCGTTCACAATCAGCGCAGATATTGCGTAGTATACAAAAAAGAAAGCGTTAAATTAGTAGAGTCAAAGTAAGTGCATATTATTTTTAATGATTTGAGATTTTGCGGTTTGCGGTTAATACGCATTAAGCATATTTAAAATTTAGCCACACTTAATTTCCTAGATACAGTTTTAAATTGCTTATTGCATTTCGGCAACGAGTCACTCATTGAACAAGATGCGGATTGAATTGCCGTGGAGCGCGCCGGTCCCTTTAATTAAATAACATCGTTTCATTGTCAGCTCACCCTCTTCGACGCTCCTTTATTGAAATTTGATCATTCAGCTTATGGCCGGAACATTTATTTTGCCTGTTTTATATTCTCGATTCGTTTTCACTTCGATTCTTTGCCTGGATTTTTGAATTCTTTACTCGATTTCGCGCTTTGTTACAGGCTGTCGTCCATTTTTTTGAAAAGCACTTTTGTCAAAATTGTTACTAATATCCACTTATCAAATTTTATTTGATAAACAATAGCTTTGTATATAAAATGTAATTTAAAAAACTATATATTATGTCACATTGCTTCCCCTTATTACTGCTTTTTGAGCATGAAACTGCGTACACTGTTTGTGCTCTAGCAGAATTTGATTTCTCAATTTCAACTAAAGGTGACAGACCCCTGTCTTTTCGATAAAATCTACACATGCTCGTCATGCTAAATGTTAAGCCTATTGGAAATCAGTAGTCTCTGTCTTTTGAGTGACAGTCGTGAGAATCAATGTATTTTTATTTATAGAATAATGGTACACACAGTCCACTGATGGTAAGTAGTTGCTGTGGCCCATAGATATCTACATCTATCCTCGATTACGAATCAAAATGCAGATGCGTTGTCTACCCGTGAGGTCTAAGATGGAATGCCTCGTTTCCAGCAAAAAGGGTCTCAGTTTCTCTACATTCACCATACGAAACACAGCAGTGTTAAGCTGCTATTTCACGCTGGTATTCTGTGAGAGCGTGGTCCTTCCCCGGATAATGTTATGTTATATAACTATATATGACTACCGTAATGTAGTGTTATTAAAACACTTAGTCAGAAATTCCGAAAGCTAGGGTGCAGGCACTGGTACTAAATTTTATGGCGCAAGATAATTTATCATGTGTTAGGTGGTGAATAACAATTATAAGGTGTGTACATGCCTCTCGTGTAGAAGGTATCGACGTAATATATTTCGAGAAATTCGTTACTAGATGTATTTTAGAGTGACTTGAAAAAGGAAGGATGATGAAGATTAATCTCAAAATCTTAAAACTCTCTAGCCCAATTGTCACCAATGTTGCTGATCGGTCGCCAATACAAGTAAACAACTTGTTTTTAATAAGGATATCCTAGATATACCTCAAAACTTGAATACTAGGTTGAACAACCAATGTGTGTTGCCAGTTATTACTTATGGATCTGAGACGTGGTGGAGGTGGAGGAAGCTCAAGGTCGCCCAGCTACCTATAGAGGGGGCTATACTCGGGGATTTTGTGCGTTTAAAACTATGAAATAAGCATATCCGCAGTAGAACCTGAGTAACTGACATAGCCCAATGGATTATTAAACTGAAGTGGCAATGGGCCAACCATATAGCTGGAACAACCGATGCAGAAGAAATGTTCCCGAATGGCAGCCTCGTACCAATAAGCAAAGTGTGAGGAGGCGCCCCAGTAGATGGTGTGACCTGGTAAGATATGCAGACTGTCGATCATACCAGGTAGCTCAGGACCGTGCTTTGTGGTATTCCTTGGAGGAGGCCTATGTTCAGCAGTGGACTTATGAAGGGCTGTAATGATGATTATGATAAAGCATATCCTATGTATCGAATGAAAAAAAAACCATACAACAAACTTGTACCCCTCAGAAAAAAGACATTCTTGCGAAACTTACTCAAATCAGCTATCTTGGACGCAGCGAAATAGCGATTAAATTATTTGCCGTATTTGAAATTTTAAAAATGTTATTTAAATATTAACGTTGCCATATTGCGGATATTGAAGTAAGTTTCAAGTTATTACATTCACTGCAACACTTAGGCTTAGCGTTCCCTCTCAACATGAATCTCTTGAGTGCTCTTAAAGTTCTGAAGCCGATTGACTATTCTATGTTTTGTTTATTCAAGAGTGTTGAATAAAATTAATTATTGCAATTTTTTTTTTCAAATAAGTTATAACTTGTTTTAAATTTTTGACATTTAGTATGCTTTGTAGGAGCAGAAATAGTTGCCGTCTTGATGTCATACCTATAGCTTCTCATTATTAATTTTAGTCTGTTCTATTCAGTACAAGCTCATTGCACCATCAAATGGCAAATTTGCTTGTCTATCACTTTCATATCCTTGATGTATTTCATAAGAATCGTATTAATTTTTAATGCCTTTGCAGTTCCACCGGAGAAGCCAGTGGTGGTTGATCGATGGGGGCGTGTCATCAATACAACGACCCTTGGTCCTCATGAGGAAGGAGACGACGTCCTTCTTACATGTCGTGTACTTGGAGGTAAGTTCCTTATAAATCATATTTTTATTGAATTTGGGGTGTTGAAGCCGAGAATATACTCGTATATACCCGTACGCTTTTATAAAATTGTTCTGCATAGTGTCCTCCTCCAAGGAATACTACAAAGGATGGTCCAAGTAAGCATAAGTGCGAAGCCACCTGGATCAATTTACTTCCTGAAACTTTTACCAGGTAGTCATTCCATCAAGGAGGGAGATACCCTACACTACGCTTACCTGTACTAGGTTGTCACTCGAGAAACTTTCCTCCTCATCGCTTGTCGGTTCTTTGAACCGACCCACAGCCACTGCAACTAACTGAAATTAAATGATTTTTATATAATAAGTTTTTTTCTGTATTTCTCTCTTATTATGTTATAATTCGTAAACATAAAGGTTTCATAGTGGTAGCGCAACGCAGCAGTTTTCGCTGTCGCACGGATGGGCCGGCTCGAACCGGCGTGGTACCACGACCTCACAGAATATCAGCGTGTATTAGAAGTTTACTTCTGCGTTTCACCTGGTGAGTGAAGGTGGCCGAAGGTCCGATCTACCCTCCCGTTAACATGGTAGCAGAGTTAAATATAAACACTAACCCCAGGAGGGTAGAGGGTAAGCACTCCTGGTGACGGAGAATCCCTCTCTGAGAATCCACCCCCAAGCTACCCTACTTTTTCTGAGCTTTTGCACAGGCTGCCCCGAGTATTCTGGTGGGGTGTTGGGGGGTGGACGGTAAAATTCCGCTCAAGACGAAACGTGCTTAAATAAGACAAAGGCAACTGCCCCCACGCTATCCGTAAGTTTCTGCAATATCAGGGGCTTCAGTCAATCCTTAAAGCCATCCACTAACACATGGAGACGGCAAAACCGACTTTGCTCTTTCTAACCGAGACACATCTGACAGAGAGGACATCTGTTTTGGACGCTTCGACTGTCTTGAAGATACGGACCTGTCCATGTTATGGCTGCGCCTATACAGCGACGACCATCCCCACGTCTACGGGTGCCTCTATAGGTCCCATAGTGGTAATGCCGACACAGACCGACTCATTGAGCACGTCCAAATGGCTGAAGACTCCGTGCTACAACAGGACCCAGGATCGTGATGCTCGGTGATTTAACGCCCACCACGGTGAATGGTTTGCTTCCCGTTTAATCGATCAACTCAGGAGATATGTTTATGAATTTGCCTTGGCATATGGTCTGACATAACTGGTTTCTTCGCCTATAATGTATAATACTGATGTACTCGCCGGATCCCAGATGTGGAGGATCATGTACCTTCCCTGTTACCTGACCTCTCATTCGGACGGATATCAGGTCACTGCCGATGCCCCCCTGGCTCTTCAGACCACTGTCTCATCCGGAGTACGATGCCACTCACGCTTACATCGCAGTTGCGTTCTGCAGCTTGCCGCCGTGTTTGGCAATGTAGGTCGACCGATTGGAATGAGATGCGGTCGTTTTTTTTTTATCCTACCCTTGGGGGCGGGTTTGCTTCTTGCCGGATGATCCCAACATTGTTGTTGATTCTATCGCTGATGTGGTCTTTCAGAAAATGGAATTATTTATTCCTTCATCTGTGGTGCATATCAGAGACAGAATTCAGCCATGGTTTGGTCACCCCTGTCAAATTGCATGATGCTATAAGTAGGAGTACTACCGGGCCTGGGCTGACGAATCAACTTCTCGGGATCCAAATACCAGTGCTCTATAAAAGAAGTACAATTCCGCTTCCAGGTCCTTCAAAAGTAGTTTACCTTTCTTCGGGAATACTTGTACTCTTGTCTCTCGCCAAGTATGTCCAAGAGAACTTCTGTCAGACATCTCTTCCATCTCTGCATAGAGTGGACCATTCACTGACCCAGGCCGCAAAGGAGAAAGCCGTCCTGCTAGGCTCTCTCTTTGCGTCTAACTCAACTCTCGATGACGGGAGGAACACACCGCCGACTATTCCGCGTTGTGTGCTGTTTACACAGCATTTGGTGCGCAAAGCACTCCTCTGCCTTGATGTCAACAAGTCGAGTGGGCCTGATGAAGTTCCACCTATTGTGCTGAAGACGTGTGCTTCAGAGTTTTCACCAGTTTTCACGCGTCTTTTATGGTACTCCTACTCTGGAAGACAGGTTTGGTGATCCCAAAAAAAGGCGACCACTCAGATCCGTCCAAGTACAGGCTTATCGCTATCACCTCCTTGTTCTCCAAAATATTGGAAACTATTATTAACTGCCAGCTCTTGCGGTACCTTGAGGATCACCAGCTGATTAGTGACCGCCAGTAAGATTTCCTTCAAGGTCGCTCGGCTAGTGATCTTTTACGTTACCTAACTCATAGATGGGTGGAGGCAATGGAGTCCAAGAAGGAGGCGTTGGCAGTTAGTTTGGACAGAGCGAAAGCTTTCGATCGGGTTTGGCACAAAACGCTTAAATAGAAGCTTCCTTTCTATGGCTTCCCGAGAAATTGCGAAATTGGATCACCAGTTTTCTTGTAGATAGGGGCATCAAGGTCCTAGTAGACGGTGCTTGCTCCGATTACAAGCCTACTAACGCTGGTGTTCCACTAGACTGCGAGCTATCACCAACACAGTTTCTTCTGCATATCAATGATATGTTGCATACTGGTAACATTAAATGCTATGCGGATGACAGCACTGGTGATGCTTTGTACACTGGTCATGCCAATATTTCTCGGGAAATTGTCGTGGAATATCGGAAAAAAGTTATGTCTGAAGTCGAGACTTTGTTGGTCAAAGTTTCGGACTGGGGTCGACTAAATTTAGTCCAGTTCAATCCCTATAAGATAAAAGTTTACGCATTTACCGCTAAAAACAAGCGCTTTGTCGTGTCTCCTCAGTTTCAAGTTACTCCCCTTGTTGCTTCAGCCAGTATTGGAATCCTCGTTGTTGACCTATCGAGTGATGTGCCATTTCGTGGTCACTCGGAAGAGAAGGCCAAATTGGCCTCTTAAGAGCTTGGCGTGCTTAGAAGAGCAGGACAATATTTCATGCTGGCACACAGACTGCAACTTTACAAAGCGAAGGTTCGACCTCACATGGGATACTATTTCCATCTTTGGGCAGAAGCTCCCCAGTGCCAGCTCTTTCCACTTGACCGCATCCAGCGCAGAGTGGTTCGAATCGTCGACGACCGAGTTATTTCCGATCAGTTTGACTCTCAGGCGTTGCGAAGAGATGTTGTGTCTCATGTTTTATCGCATATTCCACGAGATGTCATCATCATCATCATCATCATTACAGCCCTTCACAAGTCCACTGCTGAACATAGGCCTCCCCCAAAGAATGCCACAAAGCACGGTCCTGAGCCACCTGCATCCATCGACTTCCTGCATATCTTACCAGGTCGTCACTCCATCTAGTGGGGGGACGCCCTACACTTCGCCTGCCGGTACGAGGCTGCCACTCGAGAACCTTTCTTCTCCATCGGTTGTCGGTTCTTCGAGCTATATGGCCGGCCCATTGCCACTTCAGCTTACTAATCCGTTGGGCTATGTCGGTCACTCTGGTTCTACTGCGAATAACCTCATTTCTGAGTTTATCACGCAGAGAAACTCCGAGCATAGCCCTCTCCATAGCTCGCTGAGCGACCTTAAGCTTACTCATCCGGCCAGCAGTGAAGGACCACGTCACAGTTCCGTATGTCACCACTGGCAACACGCACTGGGAGTACAGTCCCGTTTTCAAGTTTTGAGGTATACCTGACGAGAAGATGTGCCGTAATTTCCCGAACGCTGCCCAACCGAGTTGAATCCGTCGATTGACCTCTCGGTCGAAGTTGGACTTACCTAGTCGGACTATTTATCCCAGGTAAACATACTCATCAACAACTTCGAGGTTAGTGTTCCCAACAACTACCGGCATAGGTGTGACATGGACATTAAACATGATCTTTGTTTTGTCCATGTTCATCTTAAGACCTATCCGTTGGGAAACACTATTGAGGTCATTGAGCATAGTCCTTAGGTCCTCCAGCGATTCTAACATAAGGACTATATCGTCGGCAAATCGAAGGTGAGTGATGTACTCGCCATTGATGTTGATACCGTATCTTTTCCAGTCCAGAAGCTTGAAAACATCTTCCAATGCAGCCGTAAAGAGTTTCGGGGATATGACGTCACCCTGTCTTACACCTCTCTGCAATTGGATAGGTTTCGTACTCTGGTTCTGTACTCGGATAGCCATCGTAGCCCTACTGTACAAGCACTTCAACACTTCGATATACCGACAGTCAACTTGGTATCGCTGAAGAGACTGCAGCACCGCCCAAATTTCGACGGAATCAAAGGCTTTCTCATAGTCCACATATGCCAGACATAGTGGCAAATTGTACTCCTCGGACTACTGTACAATTTTCCGAAGGGTATGTATGTGGTCTATGGTGCTAAAGCCTTTTCGGAAACCGGCTTGCTCGGGAGGCTGGAAGTCGTCAAGTCTGCGCGCGAGACGATTCGTAATGACTCTCGATAACAGCACGAAGTCGCGGCTCAGAAGGGGAATCGGTCTGTAGGTCTTCAAGAGAGCGTTGTCGCCTTTCTTGAAAAACAAAACTACCGCACTTCTGCTCCACGCCTCCGGTGTAATGCCACCATGGAGGACGGAATTAAAGAGCCTCTGAAGGACTTCATTTACCGGTTTTCCACCCGCTTTCAGAAGCTCCGCTGTAATTCCATCCTCGCCTGGGGCCTTGCCGTTTTTAAGGTGCTGGAGAGCCTATCCAATCTCGCTCAGACTGACGTTAGGGATATCATCGGAATAATGTCGGATAAGACTCGCTCTTGGATCTTTACTCACACTTGCGTGCGACTCCAACGATGACGTGTACAGCTGCCCATAGAACCTCTCAATCTCACTTAAAATCTCAGGTGCCCCGGAAACGATACTTCCACATTTGGTCTTCAGCTTTGACAGTTGGCTCTTTTTGGCAGACAGATTTCTGGCAAAGACTTTGGAGCCTTGGTTCTGCTCGATCGCTTCTTCAATACGAG